TCGCGCCGTGCCGCTGCGGCAGCCAACCCGGGCGCGCCGTGCACCGGCCATGCGCGTGCGCAAGCGGCGGAAGGGGCGGAAGTGGCGGAGAAGACAACTTCAGACGCGGTCCCAGCGGCGCCTTCACACGCACAGTGCGCTGGGAGGCGGCGGTGGCCCATGAACTGCGGCCGCCGAAGTCGGAAGCGCTTCTCCTTGCACGGAGGGCAGGCCGTTTTATGGGGTGAAAGGATTGGAGAGGGTGTAATGAATGAGAGGGGTGGCGGAGTGGTCGAGGGGTGCAGAGAAAGGACGCAAAGCGCGACTGCGCGCATGCGGCCTGTGCGACGACCCTCGGGTTACCCGGGATCCCAGCTCCAGCTCCCGGTGGGAGAGGCCCGGCCTCGGGGTGGAGTCGCAGTATCACGCATGCGTAGGGTGAGCCGCATTCCTGAACGTGAAGCTGAGCGGGTGCCCAGACTGGAGATGGGAGGGGTGACCTGGGGACGAAGGCTTCCCAATCCGGATTGATGGCACTGAAGACAGGGATGCACGGAAAAAACCTGGAAGCTCCGAGCAGTGGAAAGCACTGCACAAAGTTCAAAGCTCCTGGCTTTGTTGTTAAGCCATTCCAGGGTATAGTGAGGAATGAATTAAGGGGAAACGATAGGTAGCAAATCTTAGCAATTTTATGACCTCACTCTTTTATTTTTGAGAAGTTGCTTATCCAGTTGAGCATAACAATGGGAAAACATCCTTTAATCAGAACACAGCTCAGTCAGAACTTCGGTTTATTGTGGCTCTCCTGTAATTCTGGCATGAAACAAGGCAAGCTGGCAGTTAATACCAATAAATTGTACAACTTATTATTGTAGGCTTCTTGACATATTGAAAGTTAATTTGGGATTTTCACTTGCCATCTTGAAAATCCACACGATTTTGGGCAATTTGTATTAGAAACAACAGGATTGGGCTACTTTGGTGTCCTTTCCAACTCTTGTCATTCTAAGAATCTTAGAAGGGATGCTCCCATTTAATTCTGTCCTGGTGTGAAAACTTTACGGGCATCTAGGGCTGGTCCCCTAGAACGGTTGTCCATGTGAAGGAAAAGAACCTAGATTAGGGTCCAGCAACCAGTCCGTGCCATTCACCTGAGCAGTGAGCCACCATAGTAAGGCTGCCATGTACTTCTACTCTGCTTAACCACTCATCCTAAATTCCTGGCTCAGGTTTCTTCTCAAAATAATGATAATAGGAATGGGCTTATCAGATTTCTAAGTATCACCCTTTCTGTATGAACACTGCATCATCCAAACTCCTGTTTAATTTCACTTTCAAGGCCCAACTGAAATCTGAAGCATTAATGACTCTCCTTGGCAGAGATACTTGCACCCCTATTTGTGCTCCCAGGGTTGTTTTGTTTTTTGTTTTTTGTTTTTTACTTACAATATTGTATTTTAGTGGTTTGGGTATAATTGTCCTCCACCAGCCTATCAGCTTCAGCTTTGTATTCCTAGTATGTAACTCGATACCTGACCTCATAGTGCTTGTGAAGTGTTTTTTGACTAACAAATGAATAAAGCATTTGATCTTGTTTTTATTTTACTTTGCTTAAAGTCTGTTCCCTACTAGACTATGAAAGAAAGGGCTTTATTGGTTCTCAGTGGACTTTCATTAGTTCTTTGATACAGGAATACATGAATGTAACAAATCTGATAAATCCTTGCTATACTTACTACAAATAGGCCTGGATTAGGCAGAGATAGAGATGTATAAAAAAAAATTACATTACTCTATTTAAGAAGCATATGGGGAAATTGAAAATTGGGAAAAATACATAAGTAATATTACCAAGAAGCACATACTAAAGGCATAATGATTTGCAAAGAATAGCCATAATTGCTAAGCAAGAGCGAGTACTGAACACCAGCCATCTTGGGGAAAATGTTAGGACTTAAGGGAGAAGTTTGGCTTGGTCAATTTAAAATCATGATCCCAGAAAATAAATAAGTAAAACTTCTTATATCGAGTTTAGATATCTATTTGGCAGGGGCAAAATAATTATACAGTAAAAATTTATCTGGAGGCCAGATTGTAAAGAATTTTGAATCCACTTTAGAAAATAGTCTCTAAACAATTGGAAACACTGAAGGCATTAAGTACAGATTAAAAATATTCAAAGAGGGGCCCTCTCTGGTGGCATAGTGCTTTAAAGCCCAGCACTAAGAAGCTAAAGACACTTCCACATGAGTTCAATCCCCACATGCCAAGGAGGTGATCCACATGGCAGCAGACCTCTCCTGACCCTCTTACTGCTCCCCTCAGCAATGTATTCATTGATCTGCCTATCTGCTCCCCACTGTGTCTCTGGTGAATCCTTTAACAGCCCTTGTACCCCAGTTCTGTATGCACAAATAAATCTTTAAAAAAAATATTCAAATTGTTTTAAGATTAAGTTTTCAGTAACTTAATCCTTTAGAAGAGACGGGAGATTAGGAACAAAGAGACTAGTTAGGAAAAAATTATAGTCCAAGCATAATTGATGAGAATCTTCTAGATCAGGGTGTTGACAAGAAAAGTAAGGGAGTATTCTGAAAACAGTACAAAATAATCTACAGGATTAATTTACTCTCTGTAAAAGAATTTTTAAGATCCTGGAAGTCGTAATCCATATTTTTCTTTCCCAGTGCTTGACACAGAGCCTATATATATGTTTGTTAACTAAAGTGATGTAAAAGAAGGAATGACTTCAAAAATGACTCCAAGGATAATAGCATGATGACAGAATTATAGAAGGTCAGTAGATGGTAGAGTTTTGAATTTGGAATGAAGATACATTCAAGTAAACATATTTAAGCAGTGATTGAAAATTCAAAACTGAGGCACAGTTGATTAAAAAAAGGTCCCTGCACTTACCTGTAGAGAGCCTGATTCTATAGATATTTGGCTGAGCCTATTAATATGAATTTTTACCAGCACCTAGGTGAATATGTTGTAGATGACTAAACTTTTGGAAACACTGATTTTTGAAAGAATTATTAAGGGGAAAACTACCTTCTGGGTAGTTTATCCAGAGAACTAGATAGTGATATGATCCTAACTAATGCACCTAGAAATTACCCAATGTTTAGTACCTCTTTGGAACCAACCTTCAATAAAATCTAAATTTGCAAAAGTAAGCTAATGGGGTATGATGGAATAAAATTTCACTTTTATGTCAAATAAATGTATGAAGACTTCTAAAAGTACATAGTCTTTATTAGTTTCTACTGACAAGGCCTGGGAAAGTAGAAAGGAGGAAATATGGAAAAACACACACAAAGACAACTCAGGAAAAAAAAAGCATAGAAAAGAAAACTAATGAAAATAATAAAAACTATACCCAAGAAGTATTATGTTGTCAGCGGTAATAATCCTTACAAAAGCGACAAGACAAAATCCAGTCTATTAAACTTAAGTCTGGGTCCTTCCCAGTGGCAAGACAGGTTAAAATATAGCACTATGAAATTATCCATAGTCACTGAAGCACAAGATCGATCCTTGACCATGGAGGTGACCCACATGGCTCAGCAGATCTCTCCTGACCCACCCTCTTCTCCCCCCTCAGCAACGTATTTCAGTCAATCAGCCCGTTCTGCTCCCTATTCTGTTTCTGGTGAATCCTCTCACCCCACCCCACCCCAACCCTCACACCTCAGGTCCATACCCCAGTTCTTGTATGTATAAATAAATAAATCTTTAAAATAAGTAAATAAAAAATAAAATGAAAATATAAGGGAGTTAAGATGAAATCCTCTGGGAAGAAGATACAACTTTCCAGATGTGTTTCTAAGGTATTTTAGAAAATATTTTTTTAGAAAAATAAGGTCATGAGTTTCCACCTCTCGTTTCCTTGTCCTCTGGTAACCACTCTCCAAGATCCTCCCTAAAAAGCTTTATCTGCCTGACTCACCTGAAGGGTTTGCTACTTGTTAGTCCTGTTTGTTGTCTAGCAAAATATCTGAGTGAACAATAGCTTTGTATTAATTTGTTTTTAATTCACTGTGGTTACTGTTTAAAATATATATGTAGGCATGTGAAATAAGCATGATGCTAAAAGGCTTAATTTAGAAGAAAAAGAAAATTCCATTCTGTTTTATGAATGGATAGGAAGGAAATATAAAGTTCTGTAAGCCAGTAATATAATAATGTATCTAGCAGAAAATAATTCATAATTTACTTATAAAAATGACAAGCTCCAATTAATATAATTTAGCCAGCGGTAGGCAGATACATATAAAAAATAGCAAATTCTTAACAGTTATTATTTGAGGAAAATCTCTTTTCTAACATGATCTATCCTACTGTTTTCACTACTAGAATTGCATCATTGGTTTTATTCCTTTCCTACATGAAATTGTAAGCAGCTTTTAGAAAAAGTAGACCAACTCCACTTGGCAAGTCTGTCATCATATTAATGA